CCGTGCGGAGCACGGTGGTATCCCGCACTGCGTAGTGAGTCTGGGCAGAGGAGCAGACAGCGTCACCATGAGCCCCCAAGCCCATGTTTCACCCCGTCCCTTAAAATGCCACCACACAAAGGCTCATCAGCCCACCCGAGCCCTCACCCCACTCCCACAACACAGCTGAAGAACCTCTCAGAAAAGACTGAAGTCATTAAGCTTAATAGAAAGCGCAGCAGGAAGGAGTTGCTGGCTATCTGTTCAGCAAGGCGTGCACCAAAAGCAGAGCAGCTTTGGTTTTTGCCCAGGGACTCGCTGCCGCCCCGGCTGGGGTGGGGGGGAGGCTGCAGGTGCCCCCAGGGCAAAGAGGCTCTGGGGACCACTCGGTCCTGAAGGTAATTATACACCAGCTCCAGCGCCCAGGGATGGGGCAGAGCACTGGCAGACTCCCAGCTATTTTTAGCAGCTGCTGCTGCAAAGGTTCATCTCTCACAATTAACTGGAAAGCCTACGAAGGATGCGCTCGCTGCCTTCCAGGCTCTATTTATAGGAGCTGCTCAGAGCTCCAAGTCACGGCGGGGTGCACGGCAGGCTGCCTCAATCCGTCTTCACAAACAAATCCATTAAAAAGCTTCCTCCCCCCTTTACGTTCGCGGTCCCCTCCTTGCGCATCCCGGGAGGAACCGTTACGTTACACACGCTGTAGCCATGACGTTACCAGCACCCACCTTCCTGTCGTTTTGGTAACCTGCCTGGCTTTTTGTGTCGAAAGCAGATGCACACACACGCACGCATCTCTGGTATAAACCACAGCCTTTGTGAAACACAACGCAAAACTGTTCCTGCAGCGCCCAGTACCGAAACCAGCCCTTGTGTGGGGTTTTGCGCCCGCTGCTCCTGTCACCCTGGACACTGTGCAGTTACTGAATCATACCTCAAAGCCGCCTCCCAGTCAGTTCCACGATCTTTACACCCTCAGTCCCTTAGCGTATTTAGAACACACGTGTTCTTTTAGACAACATATGACTGAAGATTCACGCTTCAAAGACAGAGCCCTGAAAAAATCCCTTTTATAGTTTTGCTCTAGTTTCACTTAGACATCTTTCCCATACCTCGACCTGACACGTCCCAAACACCAGAAAAATCCCCACCAGGTAGGCAGCAGATACCAGCACAGATGAGTTTTTGTGTGTACCTGGGCATGCTTCCCTCACCCTCGTTTTGCAGCAAAACCTGGTTCCTAATGTTAGATCTATTTTCCCAAACAGCACTTGCTTTTCTATTCCCTCTTCCCCTTCAAACTCATCTTCATCTCGTCAAGAAACAGAAGGCAGCTCCCAGTCACCTACAGGAATCCACAAACCAGGAAAAAAAGCACCACAGCGCCTGATACAGAAATTCAGCATTGCACCTGCAGACTCAAAAAGTCAGTAAGAGCTAAGACTTTGCAAAAGTTATGTGAACTCATGCATGTAATACACCTGAAACAAAAAAGCAATTGGCTATTTAACATGGTTATCTATTTTTAGCCTCAAGCCACTTCAAAGCTCCACTCCACTAGTGGAACCAGTATGGTGCATCAGCTCCTACACATGATTTCCAGTACTGATTAACAGCCGCCCGTAAAGACACAAGCCACAGACCCCATACAATATGGATCAGATCAACAACTGTATTCCCACTGACTTCAGAGTGTGCCAGAACGAATCATGTCATTTTACAGTATCTTCCAGTCTTACTAGTGCAGTTACTAGTATCTGTATAAATATTTCTCAAACACAAGCACAAAGTTTTCACGTCTTC